GCCTGACATGTTTTCAATATCCTGGAACCTTTCAGAAGTAGTACGTATTAATTTTCAAGCTGGGGATTTGATCTGCATTGTTCCTTCCCTGTCCTTTTTGGTCACTGGTGTGCTGAGATGCTCTTGCACGTGGCCTTTGATGGTCTCCGGTACGGCAAGAATGCAAGATTTGTTCACTGCTTTGGAGATGAGGACGGGATGCAGTGGTTGAAGAGACCCTTGGCCGTTTTTCTTTAGTACTCGTTGTCTTTTTATGTTTGTGATCTTGTTGCAACGTTGTACCCTAATTGGTGCATTCATCGACGATTTGGAGTGCACAGGAATCTCCAATTTTGCCCGCCCTCTACACAGAAGTGGATTTGTATTGAAGGTCACAAAGTTGAAGGTCCTCACTGTGACAAAGAATGCCCACCGGAATCTTAGAACAAACAACGTTAACGTTTTGATGCTTATTTTGTAACTTTGGGATATTTTATCCTACGACTGTTTGAGAGTGGACCAACTCTTTGTGAGGATGAACCAGTTGGCATTGCGGCGAGTACGGAAGCACTTGAAGATGTGATAGCAGCAATTCATCGGGAAAAAAAAGGGTGTTGAAGCCTTGCTTGGAGCTGGGCTGTGGCTTGGAACACATGAAAACAACCGTGAAATATGCTCATATGTGTGATGCTGGATTTAAGTCTTTCTATCTTGATTTAAGTCTTTGATGGAAGACCTGGACTGCTGAAGTCTTTGGAGTCTTAGGGTATTGTTATCACATGTTATCACGTTTAAGGGAGCCTATCGCATTTTCAGCTTTTAGCCCACTGAAAATAAATTCCTCTCTTCACAATACAGTAGTCATTGCAGCTTGTGGCGGTTGCTTGTATAGATCTTCACCGCCCTTCTTTCACCTGGCAAGTCCTGACCTGGGCGGCTCTTGGGCGCCCAGTGTTTGGGGTCCCATGCTCTTGCAGGCACGTTCCGGCCTTCTTTCCGCAGACCACAACCACAACCAAACAACTTCCCCCAAGGACTCTGGCTGTGTCAAACAGGTAACGGCCAGCTTGTCCCTATTTTTCCATGAGCCAGCCAACCACAAGGTCGCTGAATATGTAGTCCAGTCCAGCCTCCCAAACCCCACAAAGCGGGGTGAACCAAGCCACCATCAGCCCCACCATGCAGTGGCTTCTCACCCATCCACCGGCTATCTGGTCCCCCCGGGTCGCCTGCAAGCAGCGCCGCAGCTCGAGCACGGCGGCGTCGTCGACGAAGGAGAAGAAGCGCAGGGCTTCGTCCGGACTTGGAGGACGAAGGGCTTGGACCACGAGGAGCAGCTCCAAGGGAAGCCTCTGGAGATGGAGCTGGCAGCGCTGGTGGTAATTACTGCGCTACAAAACGCGCAGGTGGAAGATCAGAAGATGTCTGGAGGGTCAGTGGGATGGATCCACAAGACCCTCTGGAGATTTGTGAAATCCAGCGGTATCAATTAGATCTCGATTATATCTGGATGGATCGGAGCTTGGAGCAGCGTAGATTTCAGTGTAGGAGTAGGGCTCCTGGCCTCTATGAGGTGAAACTGTTTGGGGATATGTTGGGGTACCCAGGGGGGTCAGTCCCTACCTGGGTGTGGATGTGGGACAAACTGAGAGTGAAAACCAAGCTTATCTTGATACGGGGCCCAATGATTCTGCTGGGATTGACTCTAAGACTGCTGCGACTCCAGAATAACTCGATTGAATAGATGTCCTAGATTCGCCCATGGACAAACAGATTGGCACTTGAATTTTCACCTATAACCCAATTGTGTCTTAAACGGTCTCAGGAGCCAACGAGCTTGTATTCCGGGCTAGCCAACTCAAACTGTGGACTGACAAAATGAGCCTTTTTCCTCTCTATGGTCGCTTGCCCACACAAAATATCGTCAGATACACTGCAGTACACTGCAGCTCGTCCATGCTTCATATCTTCACATCTTCCGCCTCAAAGAAGGAAAAACCATGCACCGCTCGTCTGCCCAAGTTGCGTGAAATCCGTCAAGTCCTGGTCCTCCGGAAGGGCTTCGCCTGCAAGGGCGGACTATAGGCGGAGAGGTCTGGCGGGTGGGATGGGATGCCAGGGTTCAGCATGGTACAGCAAGGGTTCTCGAGTTCTCAACCCTAAGGGTCCAGGACCATCCGAATCGGATGTCCTTTGACCCCCCCGTTCGACCATTCTCAGGAAGTACTTTCACCTCCAAGACCATCCTCAGAAGGTACCTGGACCCAATGGGCAAGTGAAAGAAACAGGGGAGAATGTGCGACCACGAGCCCTCCACGTTCTACGTAGCAACTGGATCTCTCGACAACCCTGTCTTACATTGAAGGTGTTTGAGTGGTGTACCCACCTTGTTCAGTGGCATTCAATTTCAGAACCGTTTGGCTCGAAGCCATGCTAGGTATGCTTCCCCAAAATGGCTGAAGGCAAATTGCAAGCCAGAAATGCAACAAATACCCGCCTTCGCACAAAAGCTGCAGCTGGTACATGGAGGCCTTTGCTTGCGGCACGGACTGACCCAAGAAACAGGTCCTGCCTGACACAAAAAGTGCCAAGGGAATACGGTGATCATTTAATGAATTGGCTTAAAATGGCTTAAGGATGCTTAAGGGGACATCTGCAGGAAACCATTAGCTTTCACCTGGCTGTCTAGTCGTGAGCCGGAACTTGCTGAGTTTATGATTTGGAGAATCAGGGTTTTACTGACGATTCCCGATTCCCTTATCTTTTGCAAGTGCTGAATCAATCCAGGTCCACATCATTCGTCTAGAGTCTATACCTCCAAAATAGTAAACAACTCCAAAGAACATGGAAGCAACCCGCCATCCAAGAAGAGCAGGTGTCTAACCATTTGCATATACTTTCCACACAAACCCGCCATGATGTGTTGCATACGAACCGTGCCACGGCAGCCTTTATCCGAGGAACGTCCAGGGTTGAAGCTAAGTGTCGCTTCAAGTGGGTCATTGACCCTAGCCTCAGTGACGTTCGGGCCACCCAAGACGTAGGTGATCCAGTGAAGTTGGGATCTGTAGGTCATCTGATTCACCCAAGTGTAGCCGTATAGCTACATGACATCCAAGTTTGAAAGCAGAATTGGACTATTTCACCTCTGTTTTGATAGGACGTTTGAGCTTTTTTGTTGGGTTGTTGGCTATCGTTTCCCAGGGTTTAGAGTGTGCCCGCACGTCAAAAATGGCTGGACTCTGCACTGCCGAAGAGGTAGGCCAGTACGGACGGACGTGCCTTATCACGGAGCCTTCAGAAGCTATTTGATGTTTGAACTGACACTCCCTGAAATCAATCTTGGCTACAGGGACCATGGCCCTGAATGGATGACCATGTTCCTCTACAAACAAATGGTCTTCACTCACTCCACTCACCTATGATTTCAGGGAGTGTGGTAACTAAGGAAAACCAGGGAAAAATCCTGGCTACGAAGGATGGCGCTAGGTATACGGTATACGGGATCCTGCTAGGTGAAAGTTCTGAAGTTCGCAGAAATCACATAGGATCCTGCTAGGTACGGGGATCCTGCTAGCTGCTAGCCACATACAGTTTGCTACAGTAGGATGTGATCCACCTATATCCACCTAAGTGACCCAGCCTATCCCATCCGAGGAGTACGGTGCATTCTGATGCCAAAAGTGATTTCGAAAACAAAAGAAGATTCTGATGAACGACTCAGATGAGCAGCTCCAGCAGCTGGCTAGCGCTCAACTGTGCCACCAGCTCCCCAGACAAGTGCATCACACGCAAGGCCGCGGCCATTCGTGCCGTTCAGCGCGCGTTCAGCGCGCCGCGCGCCCGAAAGTCGCGGGGGCCGAAAGTCGCGCCGCTCCGAGGCTACAAAGGGTCCTCTTTTTCGGGAGGGGCGAGATCTTCCATGGCATTTGGGTATATCACTATCCAATCACCTCCCGAAAAGGGCGGTGCTGGTTGACGAGAAATCCATGTTCCAATTTAGTGTGGCAAGTGGGTGGTGGGACTTCTTGAATCAAGCAACTGCGTGCGGCCTGCTTGCAGTTTCAATCACATCCCAGCGTCCTTGACTCAAATGTGACTCTCAGAAGTGACTATAGGTGTGCTTGGTGCTGCGTGATTCATGTCATGCTTATACTTACCAAAACAGGTTAAGTGACCTTACAGGACCCTACTGGGGTACCTATGGGATAGTCTAGTTCGGGTCATTCAACCTCTGTTGGTACTTGGTGTTTGTACTTTAATCTAGACTTAGCTGGGGACCTCTGAGGCTGCAAGATGCTGCAAGAGCCATGCACCTGCTAGAGCCATGTGGCTGAGGTGATGTGCAAGCCGCCTGTGGCCCCCGGCGCCAAACAACATCTATCTGCCAACAGGCTGGGTGCCAAGGTCACTACGGGCAATCAAAGTGAAGCCCTCCAGCCAATGGCAGCGGCAACTGTTCCCTTCCGCACCCATGTTGGTCTTCGGCCTCCCATGGCCGAATACATGGCCTAATACCGGAGGGCGAACTCTGCCATGCCTCAAACGCTTCCTATGACTCCTTGAGCCATATAAAGGTCCTCCAACCTCCTCCAACCTTCCTTTTGGGCCCCAAACAGACCCCCAAGTCAGAGCCTGTACTCTTCGACCTCCCCTTGCTACTTGCCCAGGCCCTCCACACGAATCCATGGGACTGGATTTGACTTCGGGCAGACTGCGCGAAGACCGGACGACCAGACTGCGCGAAGAGCGGACGACCGGGCAGACGAGTCTCCGGAGGTTGGATGCAGATCATTCGGAATTCGTAGCTGCTGCCAGGAAGCAGGAAGGTTATTTTTGGAACATGTTTGGACCCTAGGACTCGGACTCGTACCTCCTCAAAAGCTAGTTGGACCCTGGCACCTACCCCAGTCCCACCTTCTGAGAAGGTACTTGGAGATCTAGGGGGAGGGTCTTCTTCGGGCGGTCAATCGTCTGATGGTGGATTCAACCTGAAGGACTCCCCTGGCTGGCCGAGTGGCAAGGCGAAAAGCCCCCAAAGGGAGAGCTCTGCGGTGTAAACCAGCCTCGGTAGGGGGAGAAGCACCAGGCCCATCTCACCGGGGGCTTAAATTTGTGCATGGTCATTAAAGACTTGAGAATTTGCGAGGTATCGAATTGGACCCACTTGAACATCCTGCAGGCACTCCCAAACATTCTTCGATAAATTACCCTCAAACATGGCAGGGACTCTAAAGATTCTAATCCTTAGATAATCTTAGATCGACTTCCTGTAGCCACAAAGTGGGGAACTCCCTCTGGCTCCTTGACCTCCTTGACCTCCTCAGCTTAATATAGCTTAATTATGTAATGGGCAGTATGGATGCCCCCAGAACGACCTGAGGCTTCGCCCCCTCCTCCAGCAACCTCCAGCCCCATAGCAGTGATAACGTGGTTCAAATCCTCCGGGTGGTTCTCAGCAGTTTCGGATCTTGGCAGATCTCGGTCTCTCCCTCAGGTGGTTGTACTCATACTCATACTCCTCCGAGACTCCTCACCTGCCAAGGTGGTTGAGATTTTTTGCTGAGCTCCTCCTCTCACCTGCTCCGTCCCGTCGGTCTTCCCTCCAGTCCCCCAAGGCACGGATCGCGGCCCTCCAGCAGCGCGCGCTCCGCCAGCACGGCCGCCACGGCGGAGGCCATGGCGGAGGCGAAGGCGGCAGCGGTGCCGATCCAATACGCCTCCGCCCGGTGTCTTCACGGCGGGCGACGAGGCACATCCAGGTGAGGAGCACAGGCACATGCAGGTGACATTTTGCTGGTGGATGGTGCAGGATACTGAAGTAAGCTGGTGACTCTGGTGACTTCCTATGATATGGAATCAGTGGCGGTTGTCCGGTGCCAAGTTGGGTGGGGATGGCTGCAGGGCAGCTGGGACAAGAATGGTCATGGACGACCTCAGCCTGGGTCAGCCGTGGATTTGCACTCCACCCAGCTGCCGCCTGTGCTGCCTGGCCATCGCTGTCGGCCGCCGTAAGTACGGAGGCCAAGAGGATCACAATGATGCCGACCTCGCCAAGGGGCGCCCATGGGGTGAAACAAAGGGTGGAACCACCCCATGACACCGTTCCCGTGCTGAATCCGCATCTAGAGATGGACCCCCAACCTGTTTACCTGTTTGAAGTGAAGGTCAACTGCGCCAAGTTGGTGTCTTCTTGGTGTCTTCTTCCACGTTGCTGAGCTCTTGATCAATGATGAACAATTAGATCTCGGCGTTCAGGGAGAATGCATTGAGATTCATTTTATTTTTCGAAACCAAAGATCACCAAAGACTTAGCTAGCCGAGTGCACATTCATGCACAAATGAGTACAATGGGGTGAAGGGGCAGTGTGATCCTGATCCACTTCGGATCTAAATATAGTTGGCCGCCCCACCACATAGGACCCAACTTGCACTGAGTTGATCTTAGTTGAGGGCACCTGCGTCATCACATCAAATGACATAGCGCAATAATATACAAATCTTAGTAGTCTTTGGGCCTCTTATCCCGCTGAGGGCTCAACCCAATATGAAGCCCCAAGTCTTGCATGGAAGCCATAGATCCCAGTACATTCCAGTGTTGTGACGTGCTCCAACTGCCAGTTCCCTTCATCCACACACTCCTCCCTGCGACCCAGGTGCCCACTTTCGCCCGCTAATGGGTTTCGTGGTCACTGCGAGGAGCGCTGTGAAGAGGAGCTTTGTCCTCAAAGCTGGGGCTTGGGAGAGCCTGCGAGAGCTACCGACATCACTGAATGTGGGAGTCGGGCAGACCCTACGTATAGTTCGACCATCTGGAAGAAGGAATGTAGACTATGTAGACTAAAAGCCCAGTGGTTGCGGGATCTTCTGAATTGGAATCCTATTGAAATGCACCAACAAGGGTCGTTCCGTGAGAATGGTCAGCCTGCTAGCATGCTTCCAAAGTGTGGGGCTGGCATATAAAAACTGGTCAGGGAACTGAAGCACACATCAATCCACCCTGTACCCCTGGTACCCCTCTAGCATTTCATGGTGCTTAATGGCGCCTTTCAATCACACTGTCTCCAATCACCTTTTAGAGGGTATACTTACGTGCATCCATAGGGAGCATGAGGACTTCTGCTGGTCTAATTCTGATCAGCTCGCTTTTATGGTGGCAGCCAGAACAAGCTCGAGTCCATTCGCACTATCAACTCGAGGTATTGCCTTCTCCCGAGCACTATGTACATGGAATGGGACGAAATGGCCGGCAAAATTGACCCCAATCATGGTCCCTGGCTTGATTGTCAAAGACTCGATGGGACTGGAACATTTACCTATTGACTATATTTCAACCACTCCGATGAACTCCGATGTATGTAAATATGCCAGTCCAATACAAACACACCAGCAGTTCCAAAGAAAAGGTTTTGTTCGACCCCGTAATCATGTGAGTGGAGTTCTGACAGGTTCACCCCCCCAATTTGCACAACCACTCCCAGCTTGGCACCCAGCTCCATGGAACTGCTGGTCCCGACCCAGAGTTACCTGACGATATGATGACCTGACAGTCGGGCGTCAATAGATCTAGGAGGATCTATGCCAATCTTGGAACCTGCAAAACTATAGATGGCTAGGAGAAAATGGCTAGCCACCACATACCCGCACCCCATTAACCATTGAGTTGGGAGTGGTGATGAAACTGCAAACCTCTTCGAAGACCTTCCCCTCCAACTCCCAAAGCCCGTCCCAAACTACTACGGGACCACATCCTTATCTCCTCATGGCCGCGGACCGAGAGTCTGACTGATCACATTGCACGTCACAGCATCGATGGATTTGCTCGCCACGGTGCCCGCCATGTTGGCGAAGACCTCATGGCCGGTTGGGTTGGGTGGATTTCCCTTCGAAGGGCTGGACAGTCTTCGACGTAGCCATTCTGCTGATGAATTCGTGGAAACCTGTCATCCAAATGTCAACAACCAAACAAACAAACAAACAAACAAACAAACAAACACAACCACCACAACAACAACAACAACAGTGAACATTGGGATGTCAAACCCCTACTGCTTCCAAGCAGCGTAAAGCACTGCAGGGCCAGCAGCCCCTGCGAGGCCGGTCCTCAGCGCTGCAGCTGCACTGCGCGAGCTGTGCAGGCAAACATCTGCCCACCACCAGCCACAAGGCGATGATCCACCAATGAAAGTGGATCTTTCAGGTGATCTACTGAATGAACAGGTGAACAGGTGATCAAGAGGTGATCTACTGAATTGTACACTATCAAAAGGTCTACGTTCACAGGTGATCTACTGAATGCAGGCCAAGAACACTATCATAGGTGCAAATAATTATATAGTTGCTTGATATAGTCAGTGGATGATGATTGCACATGAAAGTACATCAAGAGTCTACGGTCACAGGTGCAAACAATCATTGCTTGATAGTTAGTGGATGGTTGTACATGTGTGTACAGCAAGGTCAGCAACTGAACAGCTATCAACAGCTATCTCTTCGCTGCTGCGCCGCCAATTCCAAGCTGGTGGACTCGAGGCATGTCCTGATCGGAAGGTCTGAGATGTCTGATTGTCACATCCATATATGCCACCAATGATCCATAATGATCCATCATATTAGGGGGATAGCATCCATATAGGGGGCATGTCTGAATACATAGTCCCACAAAACATGGATGTCTGAATATAGGGGGATAGTATCTTCAAGTTAATAACGGTCACCACAAACATGTCCGATAGTTGATGCTATTATATTCATGTTTGATATCTTCTTTGTCCAGTACAAAACAAGGTCTGATAGCTCCAAACATGTCGCCACCGTCATGCCCCGTTCAAGTCCCTTCAAGCTTGTGCTTTTGCTGAACCCCCCTTGCTTCCGTGACATCAGGGTGACCAACTACAAACCTCAGCGACTCAACATCCCTGTTACTATGGGTCCAAATGCCCTGCTAGGGCGAGGCTTCACAGTCCTTCCACTGATCTGTTTCAGATAGATTTTTTTTCAAGGAGAACTCTTTACTCTACAGAAGTGATCCCACAAAACTATGCCAAAAAAGCGCCTACTTTCGCACAGTCTCCCCTTTCCCCCCTAGGCCTCTCTGACCCTCCCATGCCAGCTATACCACCCCTGCCACTGTCTCCCAGTGGCTGAGCCGGAGGCATAGACAGCACAGGAGAAGCTTTAAAACCTCCACCGCTGCCACACAAGCGCCTGCGACTCAGGACTCGGGAACCACCCAGCCATAGTGTTGGTCCGGTCCGGAGGGCTGAAAAGGCCGGCCGTCTTAGGGGCTGAACACGTCGACTAGGGGCCTTTCTATTCGACTAGGGGCTGAAACAGGTCCTTTTCATGGGGAAAGCCATAGATACATCCTAGAAGTCCAGTTCGACTATTGTAGGCACCACCCAAGTAAAGGAAGGTCCTTTTCGGATCACCAAGTCAGACCGTTTTAAACATGGTCTTGGACTCCCAGGGTATTATATATCCATATATATATATAGTAGCAGGTCCTGGTCTCACGGGGAAGCCTTTGGAAAAGGCTGCTTTTGGCTTTGGAAAAGGCTGGAACTCCTATAACTCCTTATGGATCGATCCTTCTTCCATGTCTCCGGGTCTCCGGTCCGATCATCCTCGGTCTGTGCGTCTTCCCAACGGTCGAATCGAAACGGGGCGGTTTCGCGCCTGCATCGAGGCCATCTGTAAAAGTCCTGGGAAAACCGATGGCTTTTCAAATGCCAATGGCGCCAGCGGCTTGGCTTGGCTTGTGTCTTGGGAATGCTTTTATTTGGCAGGAGCAACTGGCCAAAATGCATGTTGTTGTGTTTCAGCATTCCACCAAAGCAGGCCAAATACACAAACTCAACATACACCAGAAGTCCAACAAATAGAACATACAAAAAGCAAACAAATGTAAAACAAAAGAACACCAAGTAAAAAACGGCGGGATGGAGGCAAAAGCACCTTATTTCTTGGCGTTGGGCATGTCCACGGGCTTCAAACCTTCCATGCAGAACCACTTCAATGTCCCGAAAACTGGGAGGAGGCCATAAAATCGTACCAAACAAATGGTGAACTCACTCCACTAACCGGATGATGTCAGACTGAACCGGATGATTTCAGGGAGTGTAGAGAGATTTCGAACTTCCTTGGCCATGTGCTTCCAACGACCGCAAAACCAAGTCATGGTCCATTAAGACCCATGATACTTCTCCACTCCCATCCATCGGTCTCCTGGTGAGGTATGGCTGCACAGCAAACTGCACAGCCAAGAGGCCGCAAAACACCGGCATGGCGTGGGGCGTTGGCGGCGCACGATGGATTGGCTGGGCGTGGGCCAGCGTCGCGGCCCGGCGAGGATGCTTGGACTGATGAGACTGGGTGATGTCATACCCTGAGCCCAAGCTGGCTTCAGCTTGATTTCTTTGGCTGCAAAGTTGATAGAAGGGTGGTGCTGACAAGTTTACACAAGGCTTTGGGTGGATCTTCTTCCAGATCCAGTATATATGAGAACATGTTAGCCCAGCAAAGCAAAAGGAAAAAAGACCCGAGCAAGCCAGGAGCACTCATGAAAAACCAAGAATTAGGTAGTAAACAGTACTGTGGTTGCCGCTGCCACCCTCGGGGTCTTCGAACCGATTTCGCTTTGATTTCGCTTCCATTGGACCCATCCGAAAGCCATGTCATTTCCTTGGGCCCCTCCTGGCCATCCCAGGCTCGAGAAGGAAGGCACGGCAAGGGCGGCGCAGGGTGCATGACGTCATGTTGACATAGGAGATAACAGGTCGTGCACGACGGATGGGCCATGAGGTCTACCAGCTGCTTCCTTACGGAAGCAACTACGTGCCATCGAAAGGCAAGCTCATGATTCATGGATTTTATGTCAAGAAGATTGCAATTCGATCCAGATCATCCTATAAGCCAAGCCTAAAATTGTTTGCACAAATCATGTTCTGAAGAAATGTGGAGGTGTACCCAAATGAACTAGGCTGACAGGCAAGGTCCTTGGCAAACATTGACCGTCCACGGCCAAGTATATAGGAACCAATCAAACTACATTCGGTAGAAGGAGTGACCCAAGGGTTTAACTCAACACCTGCTTGGTAAAGAGGCTCCAGGCTTTTCATGGTCTAAATCGGTGTAACATGTTCCCATCCACGTAGCCGTGAAGGTTTCAGGGCGTGTTCACTGCATCAAAGTAAAGACCGGCATATATTGGCCACACCGGTGCGGTGCTCGTGAACACCTGTCTGATGAAAGTAACACCAAAACCATGAAAACATCTGGCATCTGGAAGGGGGGGCATCAGTTCAGCCAAAGTTGTTGGAACATCACTTCAGGCGCAGCATCTTAGGGCATTGTCCATGTAGAATGTCATGTTTCGCTCGGATAACTGGACACCTGTTGGCACTAAAAGCAAAGAAACCTCGTTTCATCTCCCTGCCGTGCACTTCGAGTCGTGACGCAATGCAAACCCCCTTCCACCAGCTATAGGGCTTTAATCCATCTAAACCCGTCCAAATAATCCAAATAGAAAGTGTCGTAAACTAAATGCCCGGTACAAAAGAGTCATTGAAGAGCTTGGGACATCCCCTTGAACCATACGACTATATAAAAAATAACGATGCAATTGTGAAGATTGTTCTCAGAACTGTCAATGAATGGTATTCCACTCTTTAGCTTGAGTCAAGAGAACTGCAACAAAAACTAAGGTCGACAAAAGCATATTTTCTCGTGACAAAGAGATCTCAAAGCAAGAAGCCTTGGCCACTGGCTACAACTAGAATCACACCTTTTGGGAACCCATCTGAGGCACATCTGAGGCCATTGCTCCTCTTTAGCTCCGATCTTCTGCCTCGGAGTTCAGCTGAGAAGGTCAGTCCATATCGCCTGCAGGCACATCCTGACCCCTTCAGGTTCTGAAAAGACAACCTCTTTCACTGAATTGGCGTTTAAAAACCCCTCTTCAGCATCTTGATCTCAATCTGCCTCTACCGGGCCTTTTGGATGCCCCAAACATGCCTCTTCAGCACCCTTTTTCTTTCTGCCTTATCTATCCCGACTCGGTGTTCGCTAGGCTTCCCTCAACAAATCCGGCTCCGGCGCAAGTGTTCTCCGCCTGCGGAAGGGCACCGTCAGCGTCTCGTTCCAGGTGCCACTCCTGGTGCGTCTCGCTGGGGAGGGGCCCTACCACGGACTTGTGCCTGGGAGCCTCCAAACAGGGTCTTTGTCTGTTTTCACCTGAGGTCAAAAGGTTTCTAGGTAAATGACCCTGAATGACTTATTTGAGTTATTTCTTGTAACTCCAACTTGGAGATTCTTGCAAGGCTACATACTAATACTACAAACCTTTCAAAAGGCGCTCTGACTTGGTCGGCTGCAGCGAAGGTCCTTTACGAACCCCTTGGACAGCCAATGCAAATATCATTGGCCTTTCAACCGGGCCCGATGGGTGCGACCACCCATCCAAACCCCCAGCCGCACGGACCCGGAAGCTGGCGGCGCGGCGGCCGTCCTGCTGCTCTCCGTCCGCGCAGGCGTCTCTTCTTTCAAGTCCACCAGGCTACCTCAAGTCCATGGTGGGGCCTGGTGTGGGGCCCCTGTGACTGAAGCTGCTCCACAGTTACAAAGGTCCAAGTATCGGGGGGGTTCTTCTTCCTTCATTTCGAACGTGAGACTGGGGTGGGTGGCAGGAGGGTCCAGTCAGACCTTCTGAGGAAGTACGACTGGAGCCTGAGGGCTTTGGCTTGATGTTTTTCCTGTTGGGGCTGTTGAGAGTATGACATAGCAGCATAGCACGGTGAATGGAAGCCAAAAACATCGTGGAAAAGTGTTGTTGGGAGATCTTGATAAATGGTTCCTGACCTAAGCAAGTATGGAGATTGTTGGTCGCATGGCATGCATGGCACATATGAGACGTGACCCACCCAGCCCCTGCCAGGATTCATCCTTTAGCTTTAGTCCCTCCAAAAGCTCTTCGCTGCCAAGCTGCAAGCTACTCGCAAGCGTGAGGAGTCTGCCTGCGTCCAATGAAGAAGTCTCCCAAACAAGCACACTCTCCATGCTTGGAGTGGCGCTTTTTTCAGTAAATATCCACCCCAAAAAATTGCCAAAGTGCTCTTACTTGGGAAGGAGCACACTTGAGGCCAGGGGGAGGAGGTCGAAAGCTAGCCGAATCGCACCGGATGCACTAGCTAAAGCAAAGAAGAACTCGTGATTTGCTCTCTCCTTTTATCCACATTGGGTGATCCTGATGGTCGCCGCTCCGCTTCTTCGCTTGGGAGCTCCACCTCCAAGCCGCGTCATGGCGGAGAACGATGATGAAACAGCTGGGGGGTTTGCTCCACTTCCATGCGGTCTGGACTTGCGGTCTATTTGGGAAAGGGACAAAGAACACATATTCCCCCAGATCAGGGATTTGCGGACTTCGTATTTCCCAGAAAGGCATTTGCCATGGACTTCCCAGGCAACAGGGAACATAGAAACAAGAAAACCTAAGCAAAACCTTCGAAAAACTCGGAGAGTTGTTCGTTTCTTCATGGGCACCCGCCACGAGGAGCCCACGGCGCCTTAGGCAAGTTCCGCGCGCTATGCACCAAAACCTCATTGGAGTGAGGGCAGGGGCAACACGTGAGCGCAAGCGTAGCCTGCAGCAAAAACAACATCCCCTTCTGTCAACCAAAGAACTTCGGCCAAAGATTTATAATATACATTTAAAAAATGTCCGTCAAAAAATGAAGGTGGCACCAAAATGCTGCAATATAGCATTTTTTGGACCTTCCAAGAACCTGGAAGCCCCATCCCTGAAGGGTTCTCGTTTGAATGAATAAATCAAAGAACTGCATTGGCCAGGCCGGGCATCGGCTTACACCTCTTGAGCCCCTCACACGCAGCTGCAGTACTGCAGCTTCCGCACGTTGAGCCTGGATGCGCGTCGGCTTCGGCATGCGCTCAATGCGCGGGAGGCGTACATGGCACAAACCGAAGGCGTACAGTGCCTGCACTCGACTTCAAGTACCCTAGAGAATGTGAATAATGCCCCATAAACACAGGTCCAAACGTACCCACTTTCTGATTTCTCACAAACAAATGTGCCTTCACATGCCTTCGCATTCACTCTGTACCTTTGACCGATGCTCCCTGCCTGCTGATGGTGTGCATAGAAGGCCTTGCTGCAGCAAGTGCAGCTCAGCCAAACTCAAGGAAGAACCTATATAAATTAATGCATGCTTACAACCTGACATGCCTTGAGATTGATTGGATGTGCTTCAAGCACCTTTGGAGCAACCAATGCTTGGTATGCCATCGCATGGCAGAATAGCGCAATAAACACCTGATTTGCTCCCTGAAAGCTAATCATTCTTCACTCAGTCTTCAGTCGATGGCCCTCTCCTGTCAAAGGTCCTGGCCATGCTACAAACTCCGGGTTTGGCATCTGCAGACCATGCCTGGCAATTCGGGTGTCTGATGCAAAAACGTCTGTCTCCACAGCTGTCTCGAGAGAGCAACTGGAGATGAAGATCTCTATGAATTTCCAAGAGCTTTCCGCGAAACTCGAAAAAACTGTTGCGAACAACATAGGACATAGGCTCTCAATGAACCTAGGCCTTATGTCGACCTTTTGATCAACTACCATACCTCCAACTACATCCAAACATCATTAATAACAAAAACATTATGTGTATTATAGGACCCTCAGGATTTCACCAGCAAGGCCCAGTTCGAGCAAAACGGATCGCTGCAAATGATGCAGGGTTCAGTCCTACATAGTGGCGGAATTTGTTCATTCAACTCATGAAAGCCATAAAACATGCTTCATTCACACATATACTATATATTTGAATGCTTCAAAGCATGTAAAGAGCTTGCAAATGCTGGTACTTGGTGTTTTGTCCCCAAAGCCCCACACCTCTTGAGCCAACTCCGGAGGTGCCGCACCATCCTGGGCGGCGCACTGCACGGTCTGCCTGGAACCCATTTTGGACATCTAGATGGTGTAGAGAAGTCCACTGCGACACTGATGTGTAAAATTGTTCATGATTGTTGTTCATCTTTGGCTTTCCTTCCAGAAGTTTCCACATAATGTAGATTCTTGATTGGTATATAAAAATGCCTCCATTTGAACGGAACAACCTCTTCATATGGGGGCTGAAATATAGTAATCAATGAGTTCTACATTATGAACTATTTGCTATAGACTGCTTGGTGCCTGGTGATTTCAGCCCTTGTCTCCAAGACTTGGCAACCTTTCAGCTAAGCTAAGTTGCTTTGATGGGGCACCTCATCCTTCCGC